GATCCCCAGGAGGGTATAGATGACACCTCTCCGAAATGTGGGAAACTATTAATCCTTGACGCTTCGCTTCTCCCACGGCCACGTGCGGCTCGCCCAGAGGGAGAAAGTAGACCGCGACCTGGTCCACCTCACCCCTGAAGGGCACTACGTCTGCGCCAACAACACCTACCCCCCCGAGCATGGCGACAACACGGTGTACAACAATTTCAAGAAGGACCTGGTGGAGCGAGCGGGGGGGCCATCTACGCGACACACGAAGCGGCCGCCGAGCTGAACGGCAAGGCATCACTTTGCATCCCACTTGGGCATCATCGCCGAAGCCGGGCAAGCCAGCGAGGTGACCGCGGCCATGTCCATGGTGCATGCTATTCGCGGCGGGGGCCACGTCGTGGTTGTCGGCGACCCCCAGCAGCTTCCCCCCACCGTCCTGTCCAGGCAGGCCGCCGACCTGGGCCTCTCTCTGCAAGGGCTCCCTCGAGGGCGCGAAGTTATTCGCGCTTCGCGCTTCGCGGTCCTCGTTCCTTCTCCCCCTCCTCCTCGTCCTCCTATTCTCCCTTTGGGAGGGCGGCGCGAGAGCGCGAAGTTATTCGCGCTTCGCGCTTCGCGCAGCGCGAAGCGCGAAGTTGGGAGCCCTAGCTCTGTCAGGGAACGCCAATGGCGCCAACGGCCTGAGGCTGGTGTTCCCCGGCATCCGCCAGAACGCCCACCAGCGCCTTGCCTCGGGACGGCTCGCCCTATCCACAGTCGACGCCAGTCGAGGTGGCGAGACAGACCTGGTCATTTTCCTCACTACGCGGGTCCAACTCCAACCACGCGTGGGGCTTCGTGGACAACCCCAACAGAGTCAACGTGGGACTTGCGCGCGCCAGGCGGAGTATCGTGGTCGTCGCCGATGGCCGCGTGATGCCCTCCATGGCCGACTCCAAGCTACGGCTGCTCTCCAACTACGGTCGCCTCGCAGGCTTCTGGGTACGATTTCCCATTCCCCCTGGCCAGAGCCCCGCCAAACGCTACGAGTTGCTCATCGACACCGACTTCGATCCCATCCGCGACCTTGCCTCCTGGGTGCCGCAGGGCTCCGACACCCTCGCTGCCAACGAGGCAAACGACGACAGGACTAGGGCCACCCATGGGGTGGCGAAGAGGAGGGACGAGCACGCCAAGAGCTTCACCGTGCAGTGCGACCTCCCCCCGGAGATCGAACGGCGCTGGGGGGACTTCGGATTTCGGTTGGAAGCAGCACTCGAGGAACTCTTCACCGACCCTGCCTTCTCCGTCGTCCTCTCTCTGGTGGCAGGACTGCGCCCCCACAAGTACAACCTCGAGGGCATCCCCTCCAACGCCGCGCAGTTTGATAGGAAAGCCTGGAGCCACCTTGGCTACTTGTTCGACGTGGGGCTGGGGCTGGACGCAGGCAGCCTGGTCTATAACATGACCTGGGTTATTATGGTTTGGCCCGTCGGCCTAGGCACCTCCTTGGGCAACCCCTCGCGCCATATTTCGGACAGAGAGCTGCCTCCGGGACCGCAGGTCCAAGGCCGTGCCGCTCGGCGACCCCGGAATAAGAACCGCTGCGCCCCCCGCGACCTCCAGCACGTCGTCCCCAGTGCCTGGTCCCAGGAGACATGGACCTGCCCGCGCCACTTGTTTTACCCAGACGTCGAGACGCTCGTCGGCCTCCTGAAGGGCTACGACGGAGCCACGCAGCACCGCGTCGAGTTGCTTGACCCCAACAACCGCGTCATGTCCACCGAGAGGGCCCGGTGTGCCATCATCATCATCATGCTGCTCATGAGGCGCGAACCTCCCGCCCGCCTTTGGCCCTTCCCTGACCCCTCCAGGTCTGGGGGCACGTTAGAAGCCATCCTTGGTGTATGCTGCCCCTGGCAGAACGACCGCCGCCTCTTCCGGTCGCAGTTCGCCTTCTTGGGGGATCCAGGTCTCTGACCTCCGCCAGCTCCGCGGAAGACTGGAGAGGCTGACATCTGATTGGCTTAGGGGGCATGCTGGTGACCTTAGCCCACCGTCGCCCCATCGCGAGGGCTGCCCAATGCCCCGCCACCTACGCGGGTATGGAGACCTTCTTTTTTGCGCTCAAAGCCCCCGTGCTGGTCCTGGCTGGTCCTGGAGGAGATTGTGGGGCTGGCCGACGTCAATGCCCTCTCACGCACAGGGTGCAGCATTTGTCTTCTCCACCAGGAACTCACGGGCAACGATGGTTGCCTGGGGCCAGGCGACGGCCCCTCTGAGATGTCCTTCCTCAGCGGGGGTTTCTCGATCGGGCTCGCCCCCCAGGAGAGAGCGCTGCCGCCAGCCCCGCTCCCCAACGTGAACAATGCCCCCGGCTACCTGGCCCCTGGCGACACCCGCTTCAGCGCTGACCAGAGATCGGCCAGGGACAGTTGTGACTCCCCCTCAAGCACGACGAGGGCACTTGGCTCGACGACAACGTGCGCTCGTATCTGGCACTGAACCGCCTACAGGCGCATGTCGACGGGTTGAATGGCACGTGGCGTTGCGCTCAGTGCTGGGCGCAGTTGGCCGGGAAGGAAGGCCGCCTGTTATGCCCCGACCACGCCTTCCCCGATAAGGTACAGGACGTCGCACTTGCCAGGAAGCCTTCCAGGCCCCCTCCCGTGGACGCACTGCCCCCGCCGCCTCCCAGCACGCGCTCTTGGCGCGTCCTCCCGCAGCGACCGCAGGCGGCCTCGGTGATTTCTTGCTGTGGCCAGTAGGCCTCCATGCCCCCAAGAATGCCAGCGTTGCCCTACTGCCCGCGCGGATGGAGGACGACAGGTTCGGGCGCGCGGCAGCAGAGACCAAGCGCTACGCGGCCACGTGCGACGGATGCCCACCCAGTGCCCCCCAGTTCTCCTGGCAGGCAGGCGCGCCTGCGCTCGGCTGTTTCGCATGGAAGGCAGACGCAGTGTTTCAGCAAGCAAGCGCGGGCGGCCCCCCGGCGTGGGGGGGCCGTTCCGTCGCCTGGGCCATCCGCAGTTCGGGCGCCGCCTGGATGTGCCGCCAATGCCTCGTCCACGCATGGAGCGCCGAGCCCAGTGCAGTCAGCGGGTTGCTCGACTGGGACTCCCATCTGGTTTGCCCACGCTCCCCACCTCTAAGCCGCGTTCCGCCCCGCTGGCCCCCGACGAGCTTCGCTATCCAGGGAGCTCGTGCCCAACCGCGCCGCCGCCACCGAGCCTGTCCCGTGCAGCAAGAGCGGAGGTGCACCTGGCCTGGCCGCCCCTGGCCAATGCGGACGCCCCCCCACAGCGCGTGGGGCCGAGAAGGTGCTCAGTCTCCTACCCGATGTGGGTCTCCCCGAGGGGCCAGCTCTGAAGAACGTCGACATTGACCACCTGGAGGCCGCCGAGGAGTTGGAGCGGGACTGCCTGAGCGCCAGGCCCATCGAGGTCAGGCTGGTCGAGTTCGCGCGCGACCTGCGCCCGCTCCTGGACGGCCAATGGAGAGATTTCGCCGCAGAGAATGGCAGGAACGTGGTATGCCCCGGAGCACCCGAAATCCGGGGCCCACCCCTACTGCGCCCTTTCCTGAAGAAGGTCTACGGCAATTTGGTGGCGCCTACCTACTGCCCATCGACTTCCACTGGCAGGGCAAGCGGCTGGCCGCCGCCCGCGTGGTTGCGGGGCTCTGTGTCCATTCGACGAACCCCTCCATGCTGCCCAACTGGCTCGAGCACTCAGGTCGATGGCCCCTGCGTGGTCCTTCCCCTCCACGCCGCGCCCTGGAGACCCTCGTCGGCTTCATTCGCAGGTCAGTTCAGACGGGCTTGCATTCGGGTCATTCCAAGAACTCTGCCAAGGACGTTCCCTTGCGAGTCGCGTAGGAATTGTGCCGACAGGTCGGCGCCCCCATCAGGAAGCACAGCGACAATGATTGGTGGGCAAGGCTCGGAGAGCGGCACCCTGAGGCGGTCGACCCGCCGGCATAATTCCACCCTTTTGCCCCCCCGCTCACCTGAAGTTCCCGACTGGGGCGACGGGGTGGCGCGCTCCCCTGCGCCGTCAGTTCAAAGCGGCACCAGCCCACCTTGCAACCGTCGGGCAAGCTCGCGCTCCCCTGACGGCGCCGGCGCGCGGCTGGCGAGCCCCGCTACCGTCGCCCCCCCCCCCCACCCAACGGCCAACCCAGGTAGCCCCCCTCCCGCCGCGAGGGGCGACGACACTGCCAGCCGCGGGGGCGAGGGATCGGAGACCTCTGCGGGTGGCCCCCCAGACGGCCCGAGCTCCGAACCGCTGGTCCTGCTGGTTTTTTCCTCGGGCAGCCCCGAGACTGCTGACGAGTCCTGCTGCCCAATTTCCCCCGCCGTTGGCCCGCGTGCCCCCTCCGTGCGCGCCGGGCAGGACGACGGGGACCTCGCGCGCCTGCCTGGGCGAGGTGCCCCGCGTTTCCTTAGCATTCCCAGGCAACCCCTGGCCGCCGGTGCGGGAGAGGAGCTCGACTGCAAAACAGGATGGCGCGAACGCCGCCCACGGCGCCGCCGCGAGACCAGTCGCAGCAGCCCTCGCGGTGGCCACTGGGCAGACTGGACAGGTTGGTACAGGCCCCATGCATGACGACCTCCCCGCTCCCCGGTCAGGCCCCTGGCCCTCGACAGGAAAGCCCAAGCCGACTACTCACCAGACCGGCGCGACCACGGGGGCGCCCAATCCGAGTGCTCACAAGACCTGTACGACCCAGAGACAGGGCTCTACATCTACAACGCCCCTTTGGAGCGAGTCGACATCCTGAACCCCGATGGCGAGGCTCCGGCCGAAACCGCGAAGCGGCTCCAGAGGGAGCTGGGCGACTACTTCAATGGCGTATGTCATCGGTGGACGGCTAAACATCCCCCGCCTGCGGGCCGCCGCTGCGCCGACCCTGCGCGCCAGCAGCCCGAGTCCTGCACGCGCTTCCGCAACGAATGGCTCAGTCGCAAATGCAACGTCTTCAAGATGGACACTGCGCTCCACCTCGGGGTCAACTGGGGTGCAGTCCGCGCTCGTTTCAACGACAGAGGTAGAACCGCGGGCACCCCTGGTAAGGCCAAGGGCAAAGGGCCGCGCGAAGACAGCGACGCCCGGTGGACAAGAACGGTGGAACCCAGGAGGGCAGCGGGCTCGCGCCAGCCCTGGGCGCTCCTCTAGGTTTCACCCAGATCGCTCAGGTGGTCACACGCAACGGCGCTTGTGGACGCCCCGAACCATGCCTCAGGGCGCCCCTTGAAGCCCGACCCCTCCTGGCCACGGGGCTGGCCGGCCCCTCCTGCGCGCCTTCATGTGTGCGCTAATGCCGCCTGTGACGTGCCCGGCTGGGGCTGTTGGCCCGTCCCAGGCCCTAGAGTCCCTCCCAGGGCGCCACTTTGCGGCCTCTCTCCTCCTGGATGACTGCTGCCCCCCCCGGCGCGCTGTAGGCGGCTCGGGGATTGGCCCCTTCCCAGTGGGCCCGAGGTGCTGCTAGATCCTCTGCGGCGACCCCTTGCAGCCCCGTGCTGCCCCGCACCCCGCCCGCGCCCGTGGTGCCCCCCCCCGGGGGGGCCGGTCTCATGGCGCGCCCCCTCCCCCGCTCTACGGCCCCCCGCCGGGATGCACATGCCTGATCGTCTTCTTATTACCTTCGCGGCTGTTGGCCGCCCCCCCTCTCGATGTGGCTGACTTTGCCGCGTCCGCCAGGGGCGCTAACTCACGCATGTTTACCATCTTCGCGGCTGTTAGCCGCCCTCCTTTTGGTGTGCGCGACTGTCTCCACGACGTGCCGACGCCCCCCCTTGGGGCGTCGGGGTAAACTGACTCTGGGAAACTGGTTCGGCTGTGCTAGCACTGCGGCTGTCAGCTGCGACCCCGCCCCAAAGGCGCGCGCTCCCCCCGCGGCTGTTAGCTGCGCCCCCACTCGCTCACCATAATTTACTGCGGCTGTTAGCCGCCCCCCTCTACAGCGCCCCGCGGGCCTTCCGTGCCCCCCCGGGGCGCGCGGGCGGGTGGGCCCTTCGCTCAACCTCGGCTGTCCCGCGACGGCCCTGATGGACGGGCAGGCTTCGGACTTCTGTTCAGTTTTCGCGATGAGAGCTTCTGTGCTCCTCCTGGCCATGCCCCTTCATTGGCTCGATCTGGCGGCTGGGATATTGGGGCGCAGGGCCACGGGCGCGGTTGTTCCACGCTCGTCTTATTGGCGGGCTCGCGCCGTTTGGCACGCGGCATCTGACCGACGCCGGTCTGCAGGCCGCATGCGGTTTCATGTTGCTGGGCGCGTATTTCGTGGACGGCGGGTACCTGGTGCGCCTGGGCTTGGACGTTCGCTTCTGAGCCGCGCTGCGTTAGTCGCCTGCCCTCTTCTCGCCCGGTCGTCGCTCGTGCTCTTTTCCTCTGCTCTGTCCTCTTCCACGCTTGCCAGCTGTTGTTTAGGCTCTCGCCCGGCACGTGGGCCTGTCTTGATTTGACTGTCGACGCCGCGCGGCTGTCCGCTAGCGGTCAGTAAACGAATAAGTACCCCCGCCAGCCTTTCCACAAATGATGCCCGGGCGAGTTGCCTTTATCAGGGGAGCGGAGGAGCATGCAGTGGAGGCCTCTTTGGGGCCTCTTGAGAGCCTTCTGGAGGCCTCTTGGGCGCCTCTCGGGGCTGCCTGGGCGCCTCTTGGGGCGCTCTTGGGGCGCTCTTGGCAGCTTCAGGGGCGCTCTTGGGGCCTTCTCGGAGGGCGTCGATCAAAATCAGCCTCCTCCTCGGGAGCCCCCAGAATCGCTTCCTGGACCCTTCTTGGAACGCTCGTCGGGGGCTCTCGTTCTTGGGGCCGTCTTGGGGCTCTCTTGGGCCTCTCCTGGGGCCCCTTTGGGCCATCTTGGAGCCATTTTGAGGCCTCGGATGGGCGCCGGGAGCGAAAATGTGAGAAAACATCAATTATTGTTTCTTGAATGTTTTGAAGGGTTTTGGCCTCTTGGGGAACTCCGTGGAAGTCTCGGAGGCCTCTGAGAGCTGTCTTGGATGGAGCGTTCTCGGGGCTTTTTCGAGCATCTGGCAAGCCATCTTGAGGCATCTTCCGCTATCTGGAGCCATCTTGGAGGTCATTTTGGGCTTTCCGAGGCGCTTTTGGGGCCGTCTTGGCCATCTTGGACGCTCCAACTATTCGCGACCACCCCCGTCCAGGTCCAGGGGGATGGGGTAGAAGGGGAGGGGTAATGCCCCCCTCGACGGGGAAGAGGGGGTTTAGAAGAGGAGCCTCCCTAAACCACCTACTCCCAGAGGGCTGGTGGGATTCCGAAGACCGACTCTGAACCAATTGCACCTAGGGGTCTTCTAGGATGCTGTCGAGCGACCCCGACCAGCATTTCATCTGGCACGTGCGAGTCGGTGGATCGAGAATTCATCGGGTGCGCGTTGTCCTCCTCGCGTAGCTCGGCTCTCAAACTCTCGAGCTGTGATGCCGAGGTTTCGAATTTGCGCTGAGATTCCGACACCAATTGTGCCCAAGGTGCCACTGCGTCGTCGCTGCAATAGTGGCTGGAAGCTCAGAGCAGAGTCTCCATCCGTGCGGTCCAAATCTTTAGATTTCGTTGGCGCCGTGTTATCTGTTCAAACATTTCCCCCCTTCAAAACAGGCTTGAAGCCTTCTTTGAGTTGGCATGAGAAACAGGTCACACATGCGGGGGTTCGGTTGCAGTTCTTGGGAGGTCAAATTCTGACTTTGCCGTGTTCCGAAATCCGGCTGAATCCCGCTTGATCTGGCTTTCTCCCGCTTCATCCGGCTCAATTCCGCTTAGTCCCCAACCTAATCTGGCGTAGCAGCTCTTCAATGGGACTTAAATCGACCTTTGTCCTTCCGGCGAAGACCTACCAGAAACTAGTTCCCTCCTGAGAGAACCAGGTCGCACACGCGAGGGCGCGAAGGCAAACGCGCTTCCCGCACCGCGGCCAGTGCCATATGGAGGGGCCCCTCTCCAGTGTGTGTGGCAGCGCGATGCCGCGAAGATGACGGCGACTCGCGCGCCGCGGAGCGCGGTAACGCGATGGATGACAGGCGACCGACGAGGGCAAAAAGTGCGCCCTCGAGAAGCTAGCGATCGCCGCCGTGAAGGGTGGCGGCCAGGTGGAGCCGGAAACCCCCAGATCGGGACGATCGAAATGGGCAGGGCAATAATGGGTACTGGGTACAAAGACAACCAGCATTTCTTGTTCATTTGAACAGGTCTTGCTGACGGTGTCGATGCGGACGTTGTCCATTTGAGACAGAAGGCCTCCTGCCCAACAGCGGCTGCTGTCGCTTGTGGGCAACTTTTGTTGTTGGGCATCGTGCCAATTTCTTCCGTATCCATTTCGGGCGTCCAGGCCAGAGGCCCTTGGAGGCCTCCTGAGGCTGCTGGAGGCCCTCACAGGCCCAGTGCGGGCCAATCGCGCTCCAATGGTTCAATCCTCCTCACCGTCGTCGTCGTCGTCGTCCGTCGTCGGTCGGCGCCCGTTCGCCGTCGTCCGTCGCTCGTCGTTGGTCGTTCGCTATCGGTCGGCATCGGTCGCAGTCGTCTGTCTGTCGTCGTCATCGTCGTCGTCGTCTGTTTGTTAATTTGTCTGTCTGTCTGTCTGTCTGTCTGTCTGTCTGTCTGTCTGTCTGTCTGTCTGTACTTCTTTCTGTCTGTCTGTCTGTCTTTCTGTCTGTCTGTCTGTCTGTCTGTCTGTCTGCCTTTGTCTGTCTGTCTGTCTGCCTGCCTGCCTGCCTGCCTGCCTGTCTGCCTGTGTGTCTGTCTGTCCGTCCGTCCGTCCGTCTGTCCGTCCATCCGTCCGTTCGTCTGTCTGTTTTGTCCGCCTGTCTGTCTGTCCGCCTATCTGTCCGTGCGTCCGTCCGTCGTCGTCGTCGTCGTCGGCGCCACGCCCCCGCCACGGAGGGCCCCTGGCTGGTGCGCCGCTCCGGGGGCCCGCTCGGCATCGGCTGCCGCGACCACTGGCGCCTCGCCTCGCCCACGCCGTGCACGCGCGCGGGGGGCCGCCGCCGCCGCCCCGAGCCAGCACGAGGCGGTGGTGCTCACACGAGCGACGCGGAAGAACAGGTTGCCCTCGCCGACATTGGCGCGTAAGTTGCCCGTGAGGTCACGCGTGGGCGTCCCCATCTCCGATGTGGCGTGCCGCGCTGGCCTTCGTAAGCCGCGGTGTAAGGTCGCTGCGTCATCTCGCTTCTTGTTGTCGCTCACACGAGCGGGCATGCGGGCAGGAGCTTTTGCTGTCAGCGTGCCTCGGCGGCGGCCCCCGCGCGACACGCTGTGCCCTACAACTGGGCAGCGTGTCGCTGCGCACCGCGGGGCTGGAGGCTGGGAAGCGCTCGGGACGTTGCCGCTCGGGTGCTGGAAGTGGACAGCGTGTCTCACCGAAGCGTGGTGGGCCAGAGCCGGCGGAGCGACACGCTCAGCCAGAGTTCCCGACCGTGTGTTTCAGGAGCTTGAGTAGAAGTTCTTCCTTGTCGAGGCTACGGCCTCCACGCCGCTCCCCAGAGGGCATGGTCGCACGTCTCAGGTGTTCGCTTCGCTTCGCTCTAGGTGTCCAGAGGCCGGCTCGTCGGTCTGACTTCGACCCGGCCTCGTCTGCGCGCTGCTCGCGCGGACGCTTTGTGGCCGCTGCCGCCGCCCCAAGCCGCCCCTCCGGCCTTTCGGCCTCCAGCGTGGGCTCGTCGGTGCGACTTCGAGCCGGCCTCGTCCGCGCGCTGCTCACCCGGCCGTGGGCGGCGAGAGGCCTCGCCCCGGCCCCGCGCAGCTGCGCGCGGTGTGCCGAGGGGCCTCCTCGGCCTGCCGCTCGCTCGTACGACGGCGGCGGCGGCGGCGGCGACGGCGACGACGGCGGCGGTTGCTGCGGCGGCGGCGATGACGACTCGCTGTGGTTCCGGGCAGGGCAGGCGGTGAGCGTCCAGCAGGCCTGCAGCTGCCCCTCCAGGGGCGGCGGGAAAAGCCCATGGCAGCCCAGCCTTCACGTGGCCCGAGGCGTCGCGGCTGAGCACGGGCTCCGCCCGCGGGTGCGGTCCCCGATGCAGTGCGACCACACGTACCTGTCGGTCGTTGAACATACAGCGGGAGCGCGCATCAAGAAACCGAGTGCTTTTCGTCAGGGTACCTTGGATTTCTTCGCTCCGCGCGTTGCGCGGTGGCTTCCTGCGGCCGTTGAGGAAGCTGCTGCGCTGAGGGTACTCTGGGCTCCCTCCGTAGGTCCATTTCCTCCGCGGGTTTTCAGGGTTGGGTTTCCTGCGAGAGTTTCTTGCGGCCGCGCCCGCACTGTATGTGTTTTCGGATGCCTAAGTCCCACTCTGTTTTGGGCGCCTTCCTACTGCAAGAGTCGAGTGGTGTTCCAGGGGGCGGGCGGAAGCCCAATCTGCTTTCAACGCCCTTCTACTGCATGATTCCACTCACTTCTTCCGACCGACGGGTACGAGTGATCCTTTGCCAGAGTGTTTTTTTCTCCGTATCCTAAGATGGGGTTCTTGTTATTCCCCATATCCTAAGATTTGGTTCTTGTTATTCCCCATATCCTAAGATGGGGTTCTTGTTATTACTTTGACGCCTCCTACTCCTCATCCTCCTCCTTCTCCTCCCCTCTCCTCCTCATGCCAAGACTTACTCATACACAGACCGACTCACACTCAAACTTACTCATACCCAGACTTACTCACACACAAAATTACTCATACTCAGACCTACTCATACTCAGACCTACTCATACTCAGACTTACTCATGCTGAGACTCACTCATACCCAGACTTACTCATACTCAGGCCTTCTCATTGTCTGACTTACATCAGGAGGCCACATAAAGACTCAAGAGGCCGCAAGATGTCCCAAGAGGCTCCAGGAGGCCCCAGGAAGCTCCAGGAGGCCTCAGGAAGCCACATGAGGCCCCAGGAGGCCACAGGAAGCGCCAGGAGACTTCGGAAGGCAACAGGAGGCCCCGAGAGGCCCCAGGAGCAGGAGGCCTCAGAAGGCAACAGGAGTGGCTCCAATCCCATGTGTTTTACCTATGCTCCTATATATTGGGCCTCACCTGGAGCACGAATCCTTGACGTTATACGTATGTTTCCATAGATTGTCCTTCTCCTGTGAACGCAATCCTAAATGTTTTACTTATTCCCTACCTATGCTCTGCCTAGAAGGGTTCTTACTCTCTTGGCTTAAAGGGCCGGGCAGTGGGAACCGGCCCGGGCGGTTCCCCCAGTAACCGCCCCGCGGTTCCCCCAATTACGTCCTCTTAGCTTAGCGTTGCTTATCTCATCTTAGCATAGCTTATTTCATCTTAGCTTAACTTAGCTTCATCTTAGCTCAGGTCTATCTTAGCTTAGCTTACCTTATCTTAGCTTAGCTTAGCTTATCTTACCTTAGCTTAGCTCATCTTACCTTGGCTTATCTTAGCTTAGGTTTATCTTAGCTTATCTTGCCGCGGCTGCCACCTGCTCCTCCTCGTCATCCTCACCGTCATCCAGCTCCTGGTCCTCCTGCCCCGGATATGTGGGTTTATTTTGTGGCGCTCGTGTGTGCCAACCGCGTTGCCAGTTTAGTTTTCTGTTCGGGTAATTACCATGGGTGTAATTCCCTACCTAGGCTCGGCCTAGAGGGTTAGCTTAGCTTAGCTTAACTTAGCTTAACTTAGCTTAGCTTAGCTTAGCAAAGCGCAGCGCTGCATTAGCATGGCATAACATAGCACAGCATAGCCACGCATAACATAGCATAGCATAGCATAGCATAGCGCAGCATATCATAGCATAGTATAGCATAGCATAGCATATCATATCATATCATATCATATCAAATAGCATCGTATCATGGCATAGCATAGCATACTAAAGCATAGCACAGCTCATCATGACATAACACAACTTAGCTTAGCATACCATATCATAGTACAGCATAGCGCAGCATAGCATAGCATAGCATAGCGCAACATATCATAGTATAGCATAGCAAAGCATAGCAGAGCAACTAATGCTGCTTTCCTAGGGGCTCCAACTTCTAGGCAGGGTCGCACTGGGGTTATGTTCCTATATGTTGGGCCTCTCCAGGGGCACGAGTCCTTGGTGCTTTACTTGTGTTCCTATATATTGCCCTTCTCCTGTGGCTCCAATCCGCAATGCTTTATGTACGTCGGTTGCTATATATTGGGCCTCTCCTGGGGCACGAAGCCTCCCTGGGAGGTCCCAGGAGGCCCCAGGAGGCCCCAAGAGGCTCCTGGAGGCCCCAGGCAGCCCCAGTAGGTTGCAGGAGGCACCAGGGGGCCCCAGGCTCATGCGCAGAGACGCGCTCGTACTACTGAGGCTCATTCACACTCCAATTCATTCGCAATTAGATTCATGACCAGACCTTCACGGCGGACAGGTCCATGCGAATAGATGCACATATGGGGAGTTCCACGCAGTAAATACTTTCTTGGACGCCTCCTACTCCTACTTCTCCTTCTCCATTTCCTCCCCTCTCCCCCTCATACCCAGACTTACTCATACACAGACTGACTCACACTCAGGCTTACTCATACCCAGACTTACTCACACACACAGAATTACTCATACTCGGACCTACTCATACTCAGACCTACTCATACTCAGACTTACTCATGCTGAGACTCACTCATACCCAGACTTGCTCATACCCAGGCCTTCTCGTTACTCTACACACAGCAGTTTTGGAGGATGTCTCAGGCTGGGCGCTGGTTTCAGCACCCCTAGGGTGAGCCGCCGAGGGGTATGACACGGTCCCGTTCGCGGCCGTTTTGTGGGGATGTCTCAAGCGGTTTGCTTGTTTCTTGTCCCAGCATCCTTCGCTTTCGGAGCAAATTTGGAGGATGCCTCGAGCGAAGCGCCCATTCTATTTTAACGCCCCTAAGGGGAGCCGCCGAGGGTTATGACACGGTCCCGTTCGCTGCCGTTTTGTGGGGATGTCTCAAGCGGTTTGCCTGTTTTGTGTCCCAGCATCTTTCGTTTTCGGAACAGATTTGGAGGATATCTCGAGCGAGGCGCTCGTGTTCACGCCTTTCAGGGGGCCGCCGACGGGGATGACACGGTCCCGTTCGCGGCCGTTTGTGGGGATGTCTCAAGCGGTTTGTCTGTTTTCTGTCCCAGCATCCTTCGTTATCGGAACAGATTTGGAGGATGTTTCGAGCGAGGCGCCCATTTTTTACGCCCCTAAGGGGGGCCGCCGAGGGGTATTACACGGTCCCGTTCGCGGCCGTTTTGTTGGGATGCCTCAAGCGGTTTGCTTGTTTCTTGTCCCAGCATTTTTCGCTTTCGGAGCAGATTTGGAGGATGTCTCGAGCGAGGTGCTCATTCTCACCCCCTTAAAGAGAGCCGCCGAGGGGTATGACACGGTCCCGTTCGCGGCCGTTTTGAGGGGATGTCTCACGCGGTTTGTTTTTGTTTCCCGTCCCAGCATTTTTCGTTTTCGGAGCAGATTTGGAGGATGGCTCGAGCGAGGCGCTCATTGTCACCCCCAGGTGGGCCAGATTTTGAGGATGTCACGTTCGGTTTGCTTGTATTGGTGGCCAGACTCGTGGGCACATATTCTCCTCAGGATGCCACAGGATGCCCCAACAGGCTCCAGGAGGCCTCTGGGGACCACATGAGGTCCCAGGAGGCATCAGGAGGCCACATAAAGACTCAAGAGGTCACAAGATGTCTTAAGAGGCTCCAGGAGGCCCCAGGAAGCTCCAGGAGGCCTCAGGAAGCCACAGGAGGCCCCAGGACGCGCCAGGAGACTTCGGAAGGCAACAGGAGGCCCCGAGAGGCCCCAGGAGCCGGAGGCCTCAGAAGGCAACAGGAGTGGCTCCAATCCATGTGTTTTACGTCTGCTCCTATGGATCGGGCCTCATCTGGAGCACGAACCCTTGACGTTATTCGTATGTTTCTATAGACTGTCCTTCTCCTGTGAACGCAATCCTAAATGCTTTACTTATGTTCCTATATGTTGGGTCTCTCCTGGGGCACGAGTCCTTGGTGCTTTACGTGTGTTCCTATAGATTGCCCTTCTCCTGTGGCTCCAATCCGCAATGTTTTATGTACGTCGGTTGCTATAGATTGGGCCTCTCCTGGGGCACGACGCCTCCCTGGGAGGTCCCAGGAGGCCCCAGGATGCCCCAAGAGCCCCCTGGAGGCCCCAGGAAGCCCCAGTAGGTTTCAGGAGGCCCCAGGAGGCCCCAGGCTCATGCGCAGAGACGCGCTCGTACTACTGAGGCTCATTCACACTCCAATTCATTCGCAGTTAGATTCATGACCAGACCATCACAACTGAAGCCCGTTGATAGTCGAAAGTTCTTGCGCCTAGACATTCGCGGCGGACAGGTCCATGCGAACAGATGCACATATGGGGAGCTCCACGCAGAGAATAATTACTTGGACGCCTCCTCCTCCTCCTCCTCCTCCTCCTCCTTCTCCTTCTCCTCCCCTCTCCTCCTCACACCCAGACTTACTCATACACAGGCTGACTCACACTCAGACTTACCCATACCCAGATTTACTCACACACTAACTTACTTATACTCAGACCGATTCATTCTCAGACCTACTCTTACTCAGACTTATTCATGCTGAGACTCACTCATGCCCAGACTTGCTCATACCCAGGCCTTCTCATTGTCTGATTTACTCTACACACAGCAGGTTGTGAGGATGTCTCAGGCTGGGCGCTGGTTTCAGCATCCCTAAGGGGAGCCGCCGAGGGATATGACACGGTCCCGTTCGCGGCCGTTTTGCGGGGATGTCTCAAGCGGCTTGCTTGTTTTCTGTGCCAATATCCTTCGCTTTCGGAGCAGACTTGGAGGATGTCTCGAGCGAGGCCCTCATTTTCACGCCCCTCAGAGGGGGCCGCCGAGGGGTATTGCACGGTCCCGTTCGCGGCCGTTTTGTGGGGATGTCTCAAGCGGTTTGCATGTTTTCTGTCCCAGCATCTTTCGTTGTCGGAGCAGATTTGGAGGATGTCTCGAGCGAGGCGTTCATTTTCACGCCCTTAAGGGGGCCGCCGACGGGTATGACACGGTCCCGTTCGCGGCCGTTTTGTGGGGATGTCTCAAGCGGTTTGCTTGTTTTCTGTCCCACCATCTTTCGCGCTCGGAGCAGATTTGGAGGATGTTTCGAGCGAGGCCCTTATTTTCACGCCCCTAGGGGGGCCGCCGAGGGGTATTGCACGGTCCCGTTCGCGGCCGTTTTGTGGGGATGTCTCAAGCGGTTTGCATGTTTTCTGTCCCAGCATTTTTCGCTTTCGGAGCAGATTTGGAGGATGTCTCGAGCGCGGTGCTCATCTTCACCCCCTTAAAGGGAGCTGCCGAGGGGTATGACACGGTCCCGTTCGCGGCCGTTTTGTGGGGATGTCTCAAGCGGTTTGCTGGTTTTCTGTCCCAGTATCCTTTGCTTTCGGAGCAGATTTGGAGGATGTCTCGAGCGAGGCGCTCATTGTCACCCCCCAGGTGGGCCAGATTTTGAGGATGTCTCGTTCGGTTTGCTTGTATTGGTGGCCAGACTCGTGGGCACATATTCTCTTCAGGATGCCACAGGATGCTCCAACAGGCTCCAGGAGGCCCCTGGGGACCACATGAGGTCCCAGGAGGCATCAGGAGGCCACAGAAAGACTCAAGAGGTCACAAGATGTCCCAAGAGGCTCCAGGAGGCCCCAGGAAGCTCCAGGAGGCCTCAGGAAGCCACAGGAGGCCCCAGGAGGCCACAGGACGCGCCAGGAGACTTCGGAAGGCAACAGGAGGCCCCGAGAGGCCCCAGGAGCAGGAGGCCTCAGAAGGCAACAGGAGTGGCTCCAATCCCATGTGTTTTACCTATGCTCCTATATATTGGGCCTCACCTGGAGCACGAATCCTCGACGTTATACGTATGTTTCTATAGATTGTCCTTCTCCTGTGAACACAATCCTAAATGTTTTACTTATTCCCTACCTAGGCTCTGCCTAGAAGGATTCTTACTCTCTTGGCTTAAAGGGCCGGGCAGTGGGAACCGGCCCGGGCGGTTCCCCCAGTAACCGCCCCGCGGTTCCCCCAATTACGTTGGCTTATCTTAGCTTAGGTTTATCTTAGCTTATCTTGCCGCCGCTGCCACCTGCTCCTCCTCGTCATCCTCACCGTCATCCAGCTCCTGGTCCTCCTGCCCCGGATATGTGGGTGTATTTTGTGGCGCTCGTGTGTGCCAACCGCATTGCCAGTTTAGTTTTCTGTTCGGGTAATTAGCATGGGTGTAATTCCCTACCTAGGCTCGGCCTAGAGGGTTAGCTTAGCTTAGCTTAGCTTAGCTTAGCTTAACTTAGCTTAGCTTAGCTTAGCAAAGCACAGCGCTGCATTAGCATGGCATAGCATAGCACAGCATAGCCACGCATAACATAGCATAGCATAGCATAGCATAACGCAGCATATCATAGCATAGCATAGCATATCATATCATATCATATCATATCATATCATATCATATCATATAACATCGTATCATTGCATATCATATCATAACATAACATATCATAGCACAACGCATCATGACATAACACAACTTAGCTTAGCATACCATATCATAGTATAGCATAGCGCATCATAGCATAGCATAGCATAGCGCAGCATAGCATGGCATAGCATAGCAAAGCATAGCATAGCAACTAATGCTGCTTTCCTAGGGGCTCCAACTTCTAGACAGGGTCGCACTGGGGTTATGTTCCTATATGGTGGGCCTCTCCAGGGGCACGAGTCCTTGGTGCTTTACTTGTGTTCCTGTAGATTGCCCTTCTCCTGTGGCTCCAATCCGCAATGTTTTATGTACGTCGGTTGCTATAGATTGGGCCTCTCCTGGGGCACGAAGCCTCCCTGGGAGGTCTCAGGAGGCCACAGGAGACCCCAAGAGCCTCCCTGGAGGCCCCGGGAAGCCCCAGTAGGTTTCAGGAGGCCCCAGGAGGCCCCAGGAGGCCCCAGGCTCATGCGCAGAGACGCGCTCGTACTACTGAGGCTCATTCACACTCCAATTCATTCGCAGTTAGATTCATGACCAGACCGTCACAACTGAAGCCCGTTTATATTCGAAAGCTCTTGCGCCTAGACATTCACGGCGGACAGGTCCATGCGAATAGATGCAAATATGGGGGGCTCCACGCCGTGAATCATGTGCTGGCTCGTTGGGGTCCCCGGATCGCTTCGGGCGATGCAGTATCAGCGGCTTGCGCGCCTGGGTTTGGCCCCTGGCGCCTTCCTCCGCAAGCTGCGCACCAGCGGTCACTCTTGCCCAGCGCCGCTCAAGCGGGTGGCCGAGCAGTGTGATGGCCGGGTCTGCTCTCGAGCCCCAGCCCTCTCACGAGGGCGATGTCATTCCATTCCATTCCTCTCCCGCTCCTGGGGCCGCTGCCAGGCTGTCCGGATCCTGGATCCTCGAGGATGTTTAGGGGGAGAAGGAGCCGGATGAGGAAGAGGGCACGGAGGAGGAACGGAGGACGAACAGGAGGACCAGGAGGAAATTACCAGGAGCAATAGGAAGAGGAGGAGGACCAGGCAGAGCCGAAGAGGAAGAGGAGGAGGAGGAGGAGGAGGAGGAGGAGGAGGAGGAGGAGGAGGAGGAGGAGGAGGAGGAGGAGGAGGAGGAGGCACCAGGAGAGAGCAGAGAGAGACGAGGGCGATGAAGGAGGAGGATGAGAGAGGAGATGAGGAAGAGGGAGGAGGAGGAAGGAGGAGGAGGAGGAGGAGGGAGGAGGAGGAGGAGGCAGAGCAGGAGGAGGAGGAGGAGGAGGAGGAGGAGGAGGAGGAGGAGGAGGAGGAGGAGGAGGAGAAGGAGGAGGAGGAGCGGGAGGGCCAGGACAAGGAGGCGCCTGCAGAGGGGGGTCGCGTCCAGCGGGTCCGCGCGCGGGCCGAGCGCTGGCGCTCGCACAGGTTCGGGGTGCAGCTGTACGACTTCGACGGCCACGAGGTCCAGGGCGGACAGAAGGGGAGCACTGGGAGAGGTCAGGGTTTTGGACGACAAACAATGGAGAGGAAGCATGTTGCCCCCAAACATCCAGATGTAAAGAAACGTTTGAGACATGTTTTAACCAGTAAGACGCATGTTTCAACCATTTGTAAGGACATTTTTCAAACATTTTAAGCACATGTTTAATTCAATGCTAGGGTTGTCAGGATGTGCATTGTCATGGCATCCACAAGGTCAGGGGTAATGTTCAGAGGGATATGCTCAGGGGAGATGCATCGACCCCGAAACGCCCACTCATCGCCGATAGGGGCCAGATGGCACACCTTGCCCAGGAACGTGTGGATCCGCTGTCGGTGTCATATCGCCCATCAGTCGGCGATGTATCGCTGATTCCCCAGGTCAACGTTTCCACCCTGAGCCAATCCCACCCTATCGTTGCCCCTCAACGGGGGTGGGGTGTGAAACCTGCTGCTTGCAGCTGGGAGGAGAGAGGAGGGAGGAGGGAGCAGGGAGGAGGGAGGAGGGAGGCGGGAGGAGGGAGGAGGGTGGGAGGGAGGAGGGCGGGAGGGAGGAGGGCGGGAGGGAGGAGGGAGGAGGGAGGAGGGAGGGAGGGAGGGAGGGAAGGAGGGAGCGAGGGAGGGAGGGAGGAAGGAGGAGGAGGAGGGAGGAGGAGGAACTGCGCGAGCTGATTCGTCCGCTCCCCCTGTGCTATTCCCCCCCTCGTCCGCAGCGAGAGGTGAGCACGCGCGAGGAGGCCTTCGGCCAGGACTGCCCGTCGTCGGCGTCGTCATCATCGTCGTCGTCGTCGTCGTCATCGTCGTCGTCATCGATCAGTCAAGTTCCGGCCGATTGAGGCTCGGGTCACGAGGTCTCCAGGCCATTTTGGGCCTCGGGGGCGCCGTGGTGGCCACGGCTGGATCCGCCTCGAAATCCTGGTCCAAATGCACCCCAGGAGAGGCCCATGGGGTCGGTCATCGTTGTCGTCGCCAGCGCCTGCGCCGTCGTCTTCGTGGGGGTGGGGGTGGAGGGAGTAGCAAAGGATGATGGTGGTGGTGGTGGTTACGGTGATGATGATGATGATGCTGATGCTGCTGATGATGATGATGGATGATGATGATGATGATGATGAGGATGATGATGCTGATGATAGTGCTGCTGCTGATGATGATGCTATTGATGCTGATGATGAGGATGATGATGACGATGATGCTGATTATGATGCTGATGATGAGGATGAGTATGAGTATGACGATTATTATAATGATGATGCTGTTGATTATGACGATGCTGAGGATGATGATCATGCTGCTGATGATGATGATGATGGTGGTGGTGATGATGCTGATGATGCTGATGATGATGCGGATGCGCTGCTGCTGATGATGGTGATGTTGCTGATGCTATTGGTGGTGGTGGGGATGATGATTGCTGATGATGAGGATGACGATTACGATGACGATGGCGATGATGATGCTGCTGATGATGATGCTGCCGATGAAGAAGATGATGCTGATGCGGTTGATGAGGAAGCTGATGGCTGATGCTAATGATGCAGATGATGGTGATGGTGATGGTGATGATGATGACGATGATGATGATGATGATGATGATGATGATGATGATGATGATGATGATGATGATGATGATGATGATGATGATGATGATGATGATGCTGGAGATGGTGATGATGTTGATGATGAAGGTGATGATGTTGATCATGAATCTGATGCTCATGTTGACGATGCTGATGACGATGATGATTGTGATGACGGGGTGATGCTGATGCTTATGGTGATGCTGCTGCTGCTGTTGATGATGCAGATGCTGCTGATGGTGATGGTGATAGTGGTGGTTGTGGTGATGATAATGACGATGCTGCTGATGATGATGATGATGATGATGATGATGCTGATGATGATGATGATGATGATGATGATGATGATGATGATGATGATGACGATGGTGCTGCTGCTGCCGATGATGATAGTAGGGGTGATGGTGGTGTTGTTGGTGGTAGTCAAGATGCTGTCGAGGATGATGCTGATGGTGAAGATGACTCTTAATGTTGATGATGTTGACGATGATGGTGATGACGATGAGTACGAGTATGATGATGCTGCTGCTGATGATGACGGTGACGACGATGATGATGAGGAGGATGAGGATGAGGATGAGGAGGAGGAGGAGGAGGATAATCAATATCATACATAGTAAGCCTGCGCTCGGTACTGGTGCTGCAGCAAGCCCTCCCGTCACTAGTTCCCTCCGCAAGAGCCAGCAAAGATGTCTTGCCACTACGGCGAGCGTCTTGAACTCAGCTATCGTCCCCAAGAAGCAAATCACGAGTTGAGGTTGTCCCCGAGTGAAGGGTGTCTCTTGTTGGCGTTTCCTGCTTCAAACCCGAAGGACAGAGTAATGCCGACCAGCCCGTGACCCTCTTCATTCCTTCCTCCTTTCTCCTTGTTACCTCTCCTCTCTCCTTCCTTCTCCCTCTTCCCTTCTTTCTCCTTTCTCTCCCCTCCTCTTCCTTTTTTCCTCTCGCTTGCGCTCGCGAGCACGCAACCTCTGAGAATATGTTCATTCTTCATTTTTCTCCTTCTCCTCCTCCTTTTCTTCCTCCTCCTCCTCTCCTTCCTTCCTATTTCTCGTCGCTCCCTGCTCCTCGCTCTTTTCTCCTCCTCGCTCCTCTCTCCTCTCTCCTCGCTCCCCCTCCTCCTTCTCCTCGTCCTCCTCTTCCCCCTTCTCCCAGTGGGTAGAGTGTGACAAGCCATTGCCCAACTCGAATGGAGCTGGCCAACCGACGAAATTATGTGTCTTGACTGCTTCGCAATCCCGCGGCTTCTCCGGACCACAGGCAAGGCCAAATGCACGGCTTGGCCATTCGGTCTCCTCACCAACTATCTCTGCGGGGGCGACCACACCCAACAGAGAAAAGTCCAGGCGGGCATCTCGGCTGACCCATCCCCGCTGTGCAGGTGGTGCAGCCAGGAGGAAGAAACAAGGAGCGCACCGTCTGGAGATGCCCGTACTGGGAACCCGAGATGACTGCTCCAGAAACTACAGACCATTATCACCGAACCATAATGGTGTGACCTGCCGCCGCATACTAGACACTGCGGCCTTACGGAGGAAGACCCTCAACTCCCAGGTCGCCATAGCCGAGGATGAGCTCCCACAGCTCGTTCCGCGCCCGGCGCCAGAGGGCCCCGATCGCGACCCCCACGAGGCGCCGATGAGCACGGAGCCTGCTCCTACCAAACACTGGTTTCTCGCCAGGGCTGGTTTCGGAGTTTACTACGACCCGCTTCTCTGAACGGGTCCACGGGCTGCCTCAGTCTGCGCAGCAAGCTGAGACGCTGGCCATCCTTCATCTCGTCACCACGGCTGAACGGCCAGCTCACGTTTTCGTTGACAACCAAGCCATGGTCGACGGGTTTGAGGACCACCTCTCTGGTAAACTACCGCCGCGCGCGGGGGCTCAGGCCGACCTCTGGCCTACAGGCCAGGCCAGACGTGTTCAAGGTCGAAAAGGTTGAAGAAAGCCACATGAACAAAACATCGGGGCTGCACAATGCGCCAATTCCTGAAGCCTTTAACCGCCGTGCCGACGAGCTCGCCACCGCCGGCGCACGTCTGTACGCCCTTCACAAGGCCTCATCGACGCCGCCAAGCGGCGACATACATTCGCTGTTGTCCTCCAATTCACGGCCGTTGCCATTCATGACTGACGTCGCCAGACGCTCCCCTTACCTGATAGAAGAACGGAATACTTTAGGGGTGCAATCATCAAAATGAAGCCCAACCTCCTCACCACACTTCAAGATGGGAACGAGCCTCCAGGCTCATCAGGTGGCCCCGACCACCCCGACGGTCCACCAGGATCTGACCACTTCGATCACCTCGATGCTCCGTGGTCTGGCCAGTTCGATTACCTCGACGGAAACCATCTCGCGCCGCTTGGACGCGGCGCCTCCATGAATGACGGCGACGGTGGCGACGAATGCAATGACCACGCTCACCCGCAAAATGCGTGCCAACTGTGCCCCCGCCAAGGGCAGGAACAGGTGGCTCGTGATCCCCCCCGCCCAGTTCACCATTCACCGTCGCCAGCCCCCAACCACCAGCGCGCCATTCCCGCCGCCCACCAGGGTACAGAGAGCAGCGAACGGCCAAGCGCCACCACGGGCACAGGGCACGGATTGTCGCGTACTCAGTGGTCCGATCGCAAGCAAATTTCTTCGCAACATTTCTCGGCTGCTGCGCGGCCTCCTGACCGCGACCGTGAACATAGCCTCATCGCTATCGTCACCGCGCTGCACCAGCGAACCACCCTCTCCAGCACTGCCACGAACACTCAGCTCCGCTGCTCGACAGGTTCCACCGTGGGCAAGCGGCCTGGGACGACTTGCAGCAGGCCTGCCGGCCTGCCGTCTCCCTCGGGGCATCCCTCCAGGTCAGTCTTCAGGCCCTCCTTGTTGCACGCCGCGCGGCGCACCAGTGCTGGCGCTCCATGTCCTCCTCCTGGGCTTCGTGAACTGCAGGCCCCAGTTCCGTTGTCCCTCTGTCGGGCTGTTGCAGTAACTGCCCCATGGCGGCGCCGCGGAGGGTGGTCCCCCACCCCTGCTCGCACAGCGGCACATCCCGCCACGTGACGTTAGCGCGGAGGGCGCTTGCAGCCCCCGCGCCAGACGGATTTCGGCTCGTCGAACTGTTGCGATATTTTTCTCCTTCTCCCCCTCAAAGATTGGCCCCTGGACCTCTCCTGGGGTGACTTCGGGTCAGAATTTTCAGGAGTAGCCGGCCGTTGCGGCGAGACGCCTCCCGGAGGCTGAGGCACAAGCAGCTGCGAACAACGTCCAACAACCTCGATCCACGAAATTTCAAGGTCGAACCGCTAACTCCAAAACTTGCCTTCAGTCCCTCTGGCTTCATCGAAAGCATTGCCCAGCTTCATGAGCCCTGTCGGGCTAAACAGATTCTACGTTTTCCTACGACGACCTCCCAGATGTCGCCTGCATCCCCTCCTTCTCCGCTTTCTTCTCCTCCTCTCCTCTCCTCCTCACTCTCTTTTCGTGTCGTGGTTCCCCTGCATGCCTCTGTCCTCCACACGTACCAGATCATTGAGGGTATGGCCTCACCCACCCCGTCATTATCAGGCCTAGGCTTGCCCGCAGAGGTTTCCCGACTGCACGTGACGGTGGCCCTGCGCGTCGGAGTGACCCCTGCGGGCCTAGTGGGTGAGCGCGATGTGATGGCAGCGGCCTTTGCGCCTGGGTTTGCCCCTCCCCGGGCCCCCGCCCCCGAGCCCGCCGGAAGACGCGAACCAGAGGACACTCGTACTCGGGGTCCCTCTTGCATGTCGCCAGTTGTGGTTCGCCCCCTTCTCCAGGGGCAATGTTACGGGGGGATGTGCCCAGGGGCGGATGCATCGGGCCCCCCCCATCGCCCATCCATCGCCGATGAGGGCCCGATGGCCCAGTCTGCCCCGGAGCGTGAGGCTGAGCTATCGAGGACCTACTGCCAACCTCTCGGCGACGTATTGCTGATTTCAGCTCGATGCTCCCCCCTGAGCCACTCCCCCGTAACGTCCCCCCCCATCTCCTGAGAAGGTTTAATATGACCTGAGAAGGTTTACTCCGGCATGATCCTGCTTAGTAATCTGGCTGAGCCTGGCTGCGGCTAAGTCCTATTGAATCCCTGGGGCTGTCTTGTCACGTTGCCAGGTAAAGTACAATACAGCGCTTAGTAGGTCTTCCGAAGACATCCCAGGAGTTGCGACGTAGCGAAAACATGGCAACGTCGTGAGGAAACACGACCAGAGCCCCGGACCCCGTCTTTCTGCGCCATGTTTCGAGCCGTATCGATCTGTGAGTGTCCCGGGGCGAACCCGGGGCGAAAACGCCTGGCTTGGAAAAATTGCGACGCCCTGATCTCAGGGCTGCTTCCTAACCTTTAGTCGGGTATGTCCCTCTACAGGAGGAATTTGCATCAATAGTCAAACAATAGTCTGGGAACGGTTTTTACTATGATTGGTGATGTTTGAATCTGTTTTCTTTTGTTTGTTTAAACTATTTCCCAACCCTCCTATGGTTGGGTACTCGTTTTGAACAGATCAGTGTGGTCGCCCCGTCCTTCTCCTCCTCTCCCCTCCTCCCCTCCTCCTCTCCTGTTTTCTGTGTTCTCCTCTCCTCTTCTCTCGTGCCGTCGGGCTGCGATCTGCGCAACTGTCGCCACTTTCGTGGGCTCCTGGGAGGCCCAGCGGAGGTTCCTCCAACGCGGATCACCTCGAGACCTCGCGGTGCCCTGCGGGCTGTGATCTGCGCAATTGTCGCCACTTTCGTGGGCTCCTGGGAGGCCCAGCGGAGGCACGTCCAACGCGGATCACCTCGAGACCTCGCGGCGCCCTGGGGGCTGCGATCTGCGCAATTGTCGCCACTTTCGTGGGCTCCTGGGAGGCCCAGCGGAGGTACGTCCAACGCGGATCACCTCGAGACCTCGCGGTGCCCTGGGGGCTGCGATGTGCACAACTGTCGCCACTTTCGTGGGCTCCTGGGAGGCCCAGCGGAGGTGCCCTGGGGGCTGCGATCTGCGCAATTGTCGCCACTTTCGTGGGCTCCTGGGAGGCCCAGCGGAGGTACGTCCAACGCGGATCACCTCGAAACCTCGCGGCGCCCTGGGGGGCTGCGATCTGCGCAATTGTCGCCTTTTTCGTGGGCTCCTGTGAGGCCCAGCGGAGGTACGTCCCACGCGGACCACCTCGAGAACCCTCGCGGCGCCCTGGGGGGGAGGGGCGATTTGCGCAACTGTCGCCACTTTCGTGGGCTCCTGGGAGGCCCAGCGGAGGTACGTCCCACGCATAGCACCTCGAGACCTCGCGGTGCCCTGGGGGCTGCGATCTGCGCAAGTGTCCCCACTTTCGTGGGCTCCTGGGAGGCCCAGCGGAGATACGTCCCACGCGGACCACCTCGAGACCTCGCGGCGCCCTGGGGGGCTGCGATCTGCGCAATTTTCGCCACTTTCGTGGGCTCCTGGGAGGCCCAGCGGAGGTTCGTCTCACGCGGATCACCTCGAGACCTCGCGGCGCCCTGGGGGGCTGCGATCTGCGCAACTGTCGCCACCTTCGTGGGCTCCTGGGAGGCCCAGCGGAAGTACGTCCCAAGCGGATCACCTCGAGACCTCGCGGCGCCCTGGGGAGGGGGGGGGGCGGGGGCGATCTGCGCAATTTTCGCAATTTTCGTGGGCTCCTGGGAGGCCCAGCGGAAGTACGTCCCACGCGGACCGCCTCGAGACCTCGCGGCGCCCTGGGGGCTGCGATCTGAGCAATTTCGTCACTTTCGTGGGCCCCTGGCAGGCCCATCGGAAGTACGTCCCACGCGGACCACCTCGAGAACTCGCGGCGACGTCCCACGCGGACCACCTCGAGACCTCGCGGCGCCCTGGGGGGCTGCGATCTGCGCAATTTTCGCCACCTTCGTGGGCTCCTGGGAGGCCCATCGGAAGTACGTCCCACGCGGACCACCTCGAGACCTCGCGGCTCCCTGGGGGGCTGCGATCTGCGCAATTGTCGCCACTTTCGTGGGCTCCTGGGATGCCCACCGGAGGCACGTCCCACACTGACCACCTCGAGACCTCGCGGCGCCCTGGGGGGCTGCGACCTGCGCAACTGTCGCCACTTTCGTGGGCTCCTGGGAGGCCCAGCGGAGGTACGTCCCACGTGGACCACCTCGAGACTCGCGGCGCCTTGGGGGCTGCGATCTGCGCAACTGTCGCCACTTTCGTGGGCTCCTGGGAGGCCCAGCGGAGGTACGTCCCACGCGGACCACCTCGAGACCTCGCGGCGCCTTGGGGGGCTGCGATCTGCGCAACTGTCGCCACTTTCGTGGGCTCCTGGGAGGCCCAGCGGAGGTACGTCCCACGCGGACCACCTCGAGACCTCGCGGCGCCCTGGGGGGCTGCGACCTGCGCAATTGTCGTCACTTTCGTGGGCTCCTGGGAGGCCTAGCGGAAGTACGTCCCACGCGGACAGGATGCTGCGATCTGCGCTCGCCACTTTCGTGGGCTCCTGGGAGGCCCAGCGGAAGTACGTCCCACGCGGACCACCTCGAGACCTCGCGGCGCCCTGGGGGCTGCGATCTGCGCAATTGTCGCCACTTTCGTGGGCTCCTGGGAGGCCCAGCGGAGGTACGTCCCACGCGGACCACCTCGAGACCTCGCGGCGCCCTGGGGGGCTGCGATCTGCGCAATTGTCGTCACTTTCGTGGGCTCCTGGGAGGCCCAGCGGAAGTACGTCCCACGCGGACCACCTCGAGACCTCGCGGCGCCCTCGGGGGCTGCGATCTGCGCAATTTTCGCCACCTTCGTGGGCTCCTGGGAGGCCCAGCGGAAGTACGTGCCACGCGGACCACCTCGAGACCTCGCGGCGCCCTGGGGGGCTGCGATCTGAGCAATTGTCGCCACTTTCGTGGGCTCCTGGGAGGCCCAGCGGAAGTACGTCCCACGCGGACCACCTCGAGACCTCGCGGCGCCCTGGGGGCTGCTATCTGCGCAATTGTTCCTGGGAGGCACAGCGGAGGTGGGTCCACACGGACCACCTCGAGACCTCGCGGCGCCCTGGGGGGTTGCGACCTGCGCAACTGTCGCCACTTTCGTGGGCTCGTGGGAGGCCCAGCGGAGGTACGTCCCACGCGGACCACCTCGAGACTTCGCGGCGCCCTGGGGGGCGTCGATCTGCGCAACTGTCGCCACTTTCGTGGGCTCCTGTGAGGCCCAGCGGAGGTACGTCCCACGCGGACCACCTCGAGACTTCGCGGCGCCCTGGGGGGCGTCGATCTGCGCAACTGTCGCCACTTTCGTGGGCTCCTTGGAGGCCCAGCGGAGGTGGGTCCCACACGGACCACCTCGAGACCTCGCGGCGCTCTGGGGGGCTGCGATCTGCGCAACTGTCGCCACTTTCGTGGGCTCCTGGGAGGGCCAGCAGAGGTATGTCTTACGCGTTGCCGCTGCTCTTCTTGCTGCGCTCTTCTGAGTTCACTGATGGGTGCTCTTCTTCCGCACTGCGGGTTTTTCAGCATGCCCGTCAGCATTGAGTGGTCACGAATGTAACCACCACATGTATAGAAAGGGTTGGGTACCTCTCAGGGTAATTTTAATGTTTCGTCAAACATCTGCCTGTAGGGGTACATGCCCGACCTAATCCAACCTTCAACCCATTGGTGTTCTTGCGTGTCGCGAGTTGGGCTGGCTTCGGGGTGCGCGCAGGCAGCCACCCCAGGTTGTTCCGCCTGGCCTGCGGAAGCCATGCGGGACTACCGTGGAGACCCATGCCAAGAAACACCCTGCGTGCCTCCAGGGTGCCCTGGGTTTCTTGGGTTTCGATTTGCTACGGCAAGCGTGACGCTCCCACACCCACAATGAATGGATGTCCTGGGGTCTCAGGGTTGGGCTTCTTGTGGAAGGCTTCTTGTGGTCGAGCCCCTACTGTACCTGGGGGGGCCGCCTGTGCGCCGCCCGAGGCCTTACCGTCGCCAGCGGTCGTTCGCGTCCCCCCCTCGTGAAGGCGGTTCTGCTGCGCGCCGCGAGCCCCGGCGGGTGTGCGGGAGCGGAGGGCGCGGTGCTGTCCGCCGCCGAGGCCTGAAGCGTTCCCCCCGCGCCACTCGGGGGCGAGCGTCTACCGCCGTCGTCGTCGTCGTCGTCGTCGTCGTCGTCGTCGTCGTCGTCGTCGTGGGTCGTCGTGGGTCGTCGTCGTCGTCGTCGTCGTCGTCGCCGTTGTCGTCGTTGTCGTCGACGTCGTCGTCGTCGTCGGCCGTCGTCGGTGGGTCGAGGATCGGTCGATCGACAACGAACGGTCGATCGATCGATCCTCTACCGATGAGGATCGATCGACGAAGAGCGGCCGATCGATCCTCGACCGACGGCGATCGATCGACGACGAGCATTCGATCGAGGCTCGACCGACGACGATCGATGGACGACGAGCGATCGATCGAGGCTTGATGCATCGATCCGTCCACGCGTCGGTCGATTGAGGGTCGATCGATCGCTCGGGTCTCGAGGCTCCATAGGGCCCTCTTTGGACCCAGTAGGGATGCCGCTGAGCACTGACGGAGCCAGCCCCTGCTGCTTACCGACCTTCTCGCGCACGCTGATGCCCGCGCTGAAGTTGATGATGCGGGGCTGCAGCGTCGCCTCCCACATGTCGTTGAGAATTGAGCGAGTCTGAAGGAACTGCAGTGCCAAGCCTGCTGCCACAGCTCGCCCCTGTCGAACGTGCCGATGCCCGCGCTGTAGGTGATGCCATCAGGCTCCTCCAGCGCCTCTCACATGGCGATGAGCAGCGATGCACCCTGCCACCTCTGTTTGCCGACCTTTCGCGCATGCTGATACCTCCGCTGCAGGTGATGACGTCGGGGCTCTACTGTCGCCTACCACATGGCGTGAAGCGTTGAAACCGACGTTACAATTAACGAGTTTACTTGTTTGCCACCGATTGGTGCGCTTGAAATACAGCTCTGGTTGCTGGGAAGTCGCGGGAGGCCAGCGAGACCATAGCCGAGCTTGGGAGAGCCGTGTCTACTTCGAACGACGCTATTCCCTTGTTCGCATCATCCTCTTGCCTCTCGTCGTCGTCGTCGTCGTCGTCGTCGTCGTCGTCGTCGTCGCCCTTCGCCTCTTCCTCCTCCTCCTCCTCCTCCTCCTCCTCCTCCTCCTCCTCCTCCTCCTCCTCCTCCTCCTCCTCCTCCTCCTCCTCCTCCTCCTCCCCCCCTCCTCCTCCTCCTCCTCCTCCTCTCCTCCCCTGTTCCCCGCCTCATCGCCCGTCGTCTACCGTCTATCGTCCATCGTCGGGCGTCTGTCGTCAGTCGTCTTGCGTCAGCCGCCGTTCCCGCCGCTGTCGCCGCCTCCGCCGTTCTCGCCGCCGCCGCCGTCGTCGCCGTCTCCGCCGTCGTCGTCGCCGTCGCCGTCGCCGTCGCCGTCGCCGTCGCCGTCGCCGTCGCCGTCGCCGTCGCCGCCGCCGCCGCCGTCGTCGTCGTCGTCGTCGTCGTCGTCGTCGTCGTCGTCGTCGTCGTCGTCGTCGTATTGATCGTCGTCGTCGTCGTCGTCGTCGTCGTCGTCGTCGTCGTTGCCGTCCTCGTTTCCGCTGCCTCACCCGGGGCCCCCTCCCTGAGATCCGACGGTGCGAGACAAGTGCATTATCGCACGCGTCACGACCGGAGCTGTGGACCTCTTTTTCCCTGGCGCTTCTACGAGCAGGACCGATCCGTGCTGGCCCCGGGGCCCGAGGCAGGGCAACATCGCCCGTCGTGGAGGAGGAGGAGGAGGACGAGGAGGAGGAAGAGGAGGAAGAGGAGGAGGAGGAGGAGGAGGAGGAGGAGGAGGAGGAGGAGGAGGAGGAGGACTCCGGAGGCCTGCAGAGCCCTGGGCAGACAGCAGGACCCGCGGAGGCACCCCCCAGAGGTCTGAGGGAGAGGAGGAAGGGGAGGGGGAGGGTGACCAGAAGTGACCATGAAAGGACAGCGTCCGCAAGAAACAAAACGAATTGGGCGGGGACTAACCAGAGGAGGAGTCCCCGCCCTCGCGGTGAGGCAAGCGCGTGGGACGGCGGGCGGGGGGGGGCGCGGGCCGTCCTTGCATGCGGCGGCTCCTTGATGAAGCCGCCGAGGACGAGGGGGCCGCCGAAGCGGCGACGGGCGGGCCGCACGCGGGGTCGCGCGCGACCGCTCGCAAGACCGTCGCTTCCCCTCCCGACTCCGACGGCGACGAAGCCCCACCCCCTCCGCCCCCGTTCTGAATGGACTCCTCTCCCCCCCGAGCTCTCCTCACACTACTGGCCTCTGCCGCGGCTCTCCCAGCACGGATGTGCTGGACAACTCGCGGGGGCCCTCTGTGCGAGGAAACAAACCCTTACGCAGCCTCGTAAGGTTCTGAGCTCCTTTGGGGGTGAGGTCCGTGCATTCTCGAGCGAGCCACCTGCCATCAATCGTGGCAATCAGCCCGCATCTGGAACAAAAATGCAGAGAGAACTCTTGCCAGAAATGCACATGATGAGAACTATGCGCGCGTGACGTGCTATCCAAACCTCCCCCCGCCTCCGAGCGAAATGCGACCACTCCGAGGCGATCGAATCATCGGCATGGGCAAGACCTGGACAGGACAAGGCACATAATCTGAGCAACTGAGAGGTCGGTACAATCTGACAGCACTGCTTGCCACTTGGACCCGAATTGCTCGCAATCACGCGAGGTGTTATTCAGCGCGCGGGCTCGTTTGGAGGGCGGAGGAATACGCTGTTTGCCAAGCCTGGTGGCCTGCCAAGGGTCGACCTGGAGCGAGCACACGAGCGCCCGTCTGGCGCGGCGCCGCACCAGATGAGCGATGCAATCGTACATATCTGTATTGGGAACAGGTTGTTGAGTGTACTGCTGCAGGGCCTGCTCCGCCGCTCTGCCAGCGAAATCATCAGCACACATATTGCCTGCAGTCAGGAAAACTTGCCAGTCTGTGAGGACTCTGCCCGTGTCCTCAAGATGGGCGGCCGTCCACACGATCTGCACTTCAGCCTCCCCTCGCGCGCGAAGAGCCACAACCATCCTGTACCACAAATCTTGATTTGGGCCGCGCTTGCCGTGGGCTCGACCTGCACGCCATCCGTCGAGGACAGGCTGGTAATCAGTTACATCAATGATGGGGCCAGTGGTTTCCTCCAGAGTGATGGCGAGCGCAGCTATCTCCGCACGCGGCACAGTTTGCCGAGGCCCGAGGAGGGGGGCAGAGACACCGCAAACAGGCTCCCAGGAGCCATCAGGCGCCTGACGGATAAAAGCGACCCCGACCCACAACGCCGTCGCCTGGGGTCGCTGCTGTATTTACCCCCAGAGCCGTCGCCGAAGAAAAAAATGCGGATCCTGGCCTGGAGAACCACACACACACATCCAACAGGCGAGAGGTGCCATATAACGTTTTGGGCGGGGGTAGGTGAGGCTTCTTGCTGGCACTCCTCTCAACCACAGGGATGGGTCAGCTTCCCATTGCGCCGCAGCCTGGGTGACCAGAGATTGCGTGCCATCAAAGTCTGGGTGATCCACGTTAGCTTCGCACTGCCAAATTCGGTGAAACAATGTCTCGGGAGCTCCTTTGCACCTTGGACAAGTTACATCTACGGTGTAGCCGCTGTCAGCTTGACGTTGGCGCGGCCATTGGCCTCCTGAGGCTACGCACAGAGTGAGACCCCAAAGGTCGGCCTGACCCCGAGACTCGAACCGACGAAGCTCCTGATGAAGCGGGAGGAGGTCGGCTCCATCTTTCAATGAGCTGCCTCCCTCGTGATCTGCCGCTCCTTGCCACAGTCCCGCTCGCAAATCAGAAACAAACTCGTGCAGAACCGTGTGATCAGAAATCGGTACCAAATCAAAGTGAGGATCTCCGAGTGAGACGGGCGCTCCCGAGGTCAGGCTCTCTGGGCTCCCAACCAGCCTCCAGAAGGGTGGCTTGGACGGCAGCTATGGGGCCTCTGGTGCCCCTCCAGCGCCGAGTGCCAAGGGCTTCGATCTGGGTCCTGACCAAACCCCACGATCGGCGGATTCGGGGCTGGAGGGCTGGAAAACGCTTCCAGAGTTGGAGCCACGAGTCCACAAGTTGGCGTCTGACCTCCAAAGCGGGGTCGCCGTCGCCAAGCACAGCCTGCAGCACAGTGGTTTAACACCTGCCTTTGCTATGACCAGAGACCGTGCGGGCAGCTTGACGCCGTGACAGGGGGACCTGACTCGGTGGCATACCAAGTACTTGATGGCCGTAGCTGGCCTGAGGTAAGGCACCCGTGCGCCAAGCGCCCTGCGTCACTTTCCTCAGGCCCGCTAGTCGCCTCATCTTAATAATTCGAGAAAACCGACCGCTGGCTTTGGTCATCCTCTGTCTAGCCTTCTTACGACTCCTGGAACGACCAGCCGCGGTATCGACACCTAAATCAACGCCTGTGGGAGCATATTTGGCGGGCACCCCTCGGGCCTGAAAATCCTAGCAACGCGCTTGCCTAGCTCAGGAGACGACGCCAAGACAACCGTTTTGATCAGAAACTGTTAGACGTTTCGCTCTGAAACCTTCCGGGAACGCGTCCGCCAGGCCCTGCATCTCCGAAACGACGCCCTCTTGAGTGCCTTCGGAGCGTCCCACTGTGTCGTCAACGAAGGTCCACAAGGAGGCCTGGGGAGCTCTTCTGTGTGCTGAATCCAACACTGAGTGTAAGAATACTTTTCCAAGACAAACTCCATGCGACGAGCCCGCCACGATCGAACGGCCTGGGCAGAAGGGGTCGCTGATGACCGAGCCCTCCTTGAGGATGCGCGGCGACATGAAAAGCAGCACCTCCATCAGCACAACCGCTGGCGGGAAGTTGGGGCCCCGCGCAGCAACAATCAGGAGAGTAAACGAAACCGAATCGTAGAACTTGGCGATGTCCAAAAGCACCGTGGCTGTCGCAAAGTCTCTGGTGGCAGCAGCCTCGTCCATCAAGCTGCGCATCATCGCAGCCCGTAGCGCACTGCTGCCCCGTATGGCCGTGTCCCAGAAAGCTGAGAGACCGTCTGACCATTCTGCCGTGATGGAGCTCCTGGCCTGGCTCCACGTCTTGCAGCACTG